TGCAGGGATGGTTCAGTATATGCAAATCAAGCAATGTAACATACCATGTTAATAGAGCCAAGGACAGAAATGACATGATCATCTCCATCGATGCAGAAAAAGCCTTTGACAAAGTCCAACACTCATTCATGTTGAAAACTCTACAGAAAATAGGAGTAGATGGCCTTTACCTCAAGCTGATCAAAGCCATCTATGGTATACCAACAGCTAACATCATACTTAATGGTCAAAAATTGAAAGCTTTCACTTTAAAATCAGGAACAAGATAAGGATGTCCAGTCACCACTCCTGTTCAATATAGCTCTGGAAATATTGGCTAGAGCAATTAGACAAGAGAGAGACACAAAAGGAATAAAGATAGGAAAAGAAGAAGTGAAAATGTCATTATTCACAGATGACACAATACTTTACATAGAAGACTCCAAAAACTCCACAAGAAGACTCCTTGAATTAATCAACAAATTCAGTAGTGTAGCTGGATACAAACTGAACACTCAAAAGTCAATAGCATTCCCATACACAAGCAACAAACAGACTGAGAGAGAAATTAGGGAAACCACACCTTTCACAATAGCATCTAAAAAGATGAAATACTTAGGAATCAATCTCACAAAAGAAGTAAAAGATCTATACAGTGAAAATTATAGTACTCCGAAAAAAGAGATAGAAGAGGATATCAGAAAATGGAAAGCTATTCCTTGCTCATGGATAGGAAGAACCAATGTTGTGAAAACGTCCAGAGTCCCAAAATTGTTGTACACAATCAATGCAATCCCAATTAAAATACCATTAGTATACCTCACAGATCTAGAGAAAACACTCCTAAAGTGCATCTGGAACCAGAAGAGGCCTAGAACAGCAAAAGCAATCTTGGGAAACAAAGAAAAGGCAGGAGGCATCACAATTCCTGACTTAAAATTATATTACAAAGCTACTGTGGTAAAATCAGCATGGTACCAGCACAAAAACAGACCTGAAGATCAATAGAACAGATTAGAAGATACAGATACAACTACAAACACATTCAGTCACCTTATCTTTGACAAAGGGGCCAAACATGTTCAATGGAAGGAAGATAGCCTCTTTAACAATTGGTGCTGGAAGAACTGGCTTTCCACATGCCAAAGACTAAAACTGGACCCATGTCTTTCACCATGCACTAAATTAAAGTCAAAATGGATCA